TAACAAACGGTAACTTGACGTTAGTGTAATTTCATCTTTCCTTCGTCAATTCGAATTTGAATGTCACGATAGTAAGTTTAAGTTTTCACTCATTTCAGAAATGTATTTTCGAAAACATTCTGAAAATACATTTATGGAATAAATTTAATCATAAAAATGAAGCGTAACGTAAAAATATATGAATTATATATGTATATGGTGCTTTCGAAAATACATTTATGAAATTTGTAGGTATTTTTGAAATTTCATAAGGTGTACTAAAAAGTTATGGAATTCATTAAGAAATTCCCAAACTATTATGTTGTGGAACAAGAAGTTAATGGTAGGTTGGTAAATTCTACTAAGATATTTGATAAAGTGATGTAATTCTTTGATGGACGAAGACTGAATAGGTTAACACTCCAAGACTCAAATCAATATAGTCAAAGAGAAGGAACTTGCAAGCGTGTAAAATGAATTGTATTTAGTATGACACAAAGTCATACTTAGACAACCCTACAAAATGTTTTTGATATTGATTTTCAAGAGTTTCTTTGTAAAAGATTTAAGACTTAAATGCACTTTTGATCTTTCTATTTTCAAGTTTTTTAAGTTTTAGTCCCTCTATTTTAAAAGTCAACTTCTTGATCCCAAAATTTTATTTCACTTGGGATTTCATTGGTCTCCCTCTAGTTTTACAGATGCGTCACCCTTATTAATGACATGACATTGCTACAATAACACCATGTTAGATGAACATACATTGTAGGGAGTTACTGTAACAATGTCATGTCATTAATAAGAGAGTCACATATGCAAAATTATAGAGAGACCAACAAATTCTCGAATGAGTAAAATTTAAGGATAAAAAAGTTAACTTTTGTAATGGAAGATTAAAACTCAAAAAACGTGAAAATAGAAGGACCAAAAATACATTTAAATCAAGATTTAATATTTGTGATAAGAAAAACCATCGACAACTTCAATAAGATTTGATAGAACATATATGAGAGCATTTTGATCAAAAGAATAATTATAATTGAAAATTTATTTAAATTTATATTTTTCATATAGAATATTTTATAACTGAAAGAACTCATACACCTATCATCTTAAGATTTTGAATAAATATATAGTGTTTTTCTCAATTGTGTGTTGTCCTTAATTCAATGTTAAATACTCTTTCATATTGACCTCTCTAAATTGCCTCCAACAAAAAGAATAATTATTATAATTGGAAATTTATTTAAATCTATATGTTTTATGTAGTTTGTGCTAATATTTTATTTTAATGTCTGTGTATTTATAATTTGTAATGCATTTGTGTTATGTATCATATTATTTTCAATATATTTTAAATCTATTTTAAATCTATTTTAAATATATAATATATTATTTTGTTTATATATGTTTAAATTATTTTATTTAATTATATATTTTCTTAGTTCTCTTATATTTCATCTTGTTTACACTAAAAAAATTTAATTATATATTTTAAAATTAATATAAAATATAATTACGGTGTCTAATAGAAATAACTTTAAAGTTTATAATGAGTTGTAAAAATATTAAAAAAATATGATAGAGTCCATTAAAATTTTTAAATGAATATAGTAGATGTTGGGCTTCATAAGGGTTAAAACTTATCGGTGGAGGTTTTAACTTGAAATTCTCCATTTTAAACCGACACCCCTTTAAAATGGATGAAAATATCAAAATAATTTAATTAATATTTTTTTATATATTTTTGAAATTTTAGGTATTACACTGAAAATTTAAAATTTATAAGGTGATGTCGAAAATTTCGTGAGTATATCGAAAATTTAGTGAAAGAGTCAGAATTTACGGTATTTTATAGTAAATTTCTGATATTTCGTGTAGAAAATTTTGAAATTTTCGATGATTTTGTTACGTTATATATTAGAAATTTTGAAATTTTCGAGTTTTCACTTTGTTTACCGAAAATTTGTAAATTTCCGTAGAACCATTTTTTTTTTGAAAAATACCGAAAATTTAGAATTTTCCGGTAGTTCAATCTTTTTTAAAATTGTTTTTTATTTGTTTCAATGAAGATCATGGGAAAAGACGGTACTATTGCGGGCAGGCAGACTAATAGAGCAGAAGCTCAGGACCGAGCTGATGAGGCACATACTTCTGAGTGACGTGCAAGACGACGTCCTCTGACCGATTTTCATCAAAAACAATTGGCTGAGCGGCATAAACAGTTCTACGCATCCCGTCGACTGGCTGCTGAGTTTCTACAGCTGAGGAGGTACATGATCCTGTGGAGGTACTTGCTCTTGTGGAGGCACCCACTCATGTGGATGTGCCTGCTCCTATGGATGAACATGTTGTGGTGGAGCCGGCTGCTGAGGATGTGCCCGGTCTTAAGGATGTGTTGGTTGCTGAGGTTGTGGTGTTGGTGGTTGAAGAGGCTGAGTAGGTTGTGGCTGCTAAGCAGGTAGTTGTTGAGCAGGTTAATGAGGTGTCTACCACTGATACAAACGCCATTACTCGTGCGTCTATGGAGCCACCAATTCACATTAATGGAGGCTTTCCGAGAGGACCTTCAGACATGTCCGTGCTAATAGGATTTTTTGAGCACGTCGCAGATGATTCTGGATATTTTAGCATATTCACTATATCGTCGACATATCTTATTATCCGTGCATCCAACTCGATCAGATCCTTGATTATCCTACGCCAAACTGATTTTCAAATGGCCTTAACATCTTCGTCGGTCTTTAACTTAATCATGTTGTATTTCATCGAATCATCTGTATCAATCCAATGTTCTCGAAACTTGATCTTACTCATCCTTCTGTTATTGGTATCAGACACAAATTCATTCAATTTGTCTGTCAAGTTGGCGAGGGACGTGGCACCATCTGGAAGCTTGAATTCAACAGGAAGACTATTTCTGTTTAAATACACTTTTGCCTTTAACCAGAAATTGTGGAAGAGGCATTTTTTGAGATGTCTTTGCCTCTAACATATGTCTCTATTTATACAAACGACGATGCATTCTAGACCACACAAATATGTCGGTGCAATCAGAACCCTCCAAAGTTATTAGCAAAACCCGATCGTTAAAAAACTTGAATTATGAAACTACTAGAAATTTCAATATAGTTGAAATTTCTGGTACACCACACATTTTATATAAACTATCGGAAATCCTGAAGTACCAAAATTTTAGTACTGATCTACCAGAATTTTTCTCTGTACCATAAATATCACTTATTCAACCGGAAATTTTATTCGAAAATTCTTCTCAAATCAATAAGGTATTTCAAGAATAACAAAAATTGAAGGGGTGTTAGGTTCAAGTGGGAGTGTCAAGTTAAAATCTCTTAAAAGTGCTACAGATTATCGGTGGACCCCAACTAATATTATTTGTGTGTCAATTAAGTGATTTAGCAACAAAAAAAATTGTCACTCTTCACTCTCTCGCTTCTCTACTTTACACCACTCATTCCAAAGAAATCATAGAGAAATTAACATGTCACCCAGACACTTATATCATGACACCTCCATTATGTATGCTTTTACTATTATATATTTGTGAATAATTATCAAATTTCAAAATACATGAGTTTTACTGGAAATTTGGAGAGTGTATAAAATTTTTTAAGAAAATTCCGATTTTTGTTTTTAGAAAAACATGAGTTTTACCGGAAATTTGAGAGGTCTATCAAAAATTTCAAGAAAATTCCGAATTCTAATTTTGGTTTTTTTTGAAATTTCCAGTGCAATATAAAATTTTTTAGTATATTTCGAAATTTTCAGAATTTAAAAAAAAATTTTTTTTTTTGAAATTTACGGAAAGAAATAATGAAATTTTGAAAAATTATCAGATTTAAAAGAAAATCAGATAATACATTTCCAAAAAAAAAAATCAAATTAAAATTTTCGATATTGAAAATTTGATTTTTTTTCAATAAATTTATTGAAAATTTATAAATACAATGCCGAAAATTTAATATTTTATCTAAAATTTCATAAAAACTATCTAAAATTTCGTTGTTTATCACTCCCTAATTTATTCATGGACATTTTTATAATTAAGAAAAATAGAAAGTGTCGTATATAATTTGATAGGTGACATTTTAAATTCAAGTACTAACCACATTATAGCTCTGTCATTGCCCTTGCTTTCGGTTAATATAAATTTTTTCAAAATTTTTTTATTAAAAAATATAAATAAGTATTTTTGAGATTAAAGAATAAAAACTTAGAGATACTTATTTATATTTGATATTAAAGAAGAAAAACTTTAAATACTTAAGTTCTTTTATTTCATCTTCATCATCTCTTCTGCTATGATGCTTACACCGACAAAGTTTTTCACTTGTATTCTATCATTATATTTCAGTAGATACTGTAAATGAAGGTAATTTTTATGAAAGGGATTTTCAAGCTGTAAGAAATTTTCAAGAAGCGGGGATAGCTCAGTTGGGAGAGCGTCAGACTGAAGATCTGAAGGTCGCGTGTTCGATCCACGTTCACCGCATTGATTTTTCGGGATTCAAGTCAATTAGTTTTACTCGATGCTTGATTTTAGTAATTTACTTAAATTTCTCAAATTAGGTGAAACCTAAGTGGCATTGAATGTTATTGGGTTTGATGAGAAGAAGAACAATCAAGTTTGATCTGAAATACAAAACCCATGTGTCTGTGATGCTTATATATGCAAACATACTTATGTTCATGGGTCTGTAATTATAATATCAAATTATCAGCAATATGGAATAATAATTATATTATATGCATTGACAATAAAATCTGAGCTGAAAAAGAAACAAGCTAGAGCGCATCAAGAAAACATGTAGATAGCTTTGCATCCTCAAACTACAAATTTTAATTCAATCTCATTATATAATTGTAGCACAACAATGATCACACTTAGAAAATACTAGTTTCTGCATTATCAACTTCTTTAGTTGTTGGAATGACAAAGCACATATCAGCATTGATACAGAATTCAATTTCCAAATACAACTATTCTCCAATTGCTAGGCCTATACCTATTATCAGTGAGACCATAAAATCTTGTCAATGCAAGGATTAAAATTAACCATACTTATTCTATGATCATCCAAGCTATACATACGAACCTCAAAATAATCCCTATAGTAGATACAGTTCCCTTGATATCCAATTAATTCTTCAGCTGAAACTGAGAAATTACAACTATTGCTCAAAATGAAAGCTCTATCACTCAAGTTTTTCACATCAACCCATGTTCCCCATTCTTCATCTAACTTATAAATTTTGAAACATTCCACGACTTCATCTCGTTCAAGGCGTCTTCCACCATAGTTTCTCCTCATGTTTTCACTACTTTCATAGTATCCATCAACAACATAAAGACTCCCACAAGATTCCACCAAATGTTTCTTGTTTCCCAAACCACACAAAGGAGGTGAAAATTGTATCAATCTCAAAGATGAAACATCAATCCATGAAATAGTTCCCCATCTATCAGTTACATAAAACTGACCCTTGAAAACAATAACATCATCGTAGTAGAAATTCTTGTCATCCACAAGTTTCCATTTTTGGTCGCCATGTTTCATGAATCCTAATTTACCTCCTTCAAAGATACAAAAAGAAACACAATCCTCAACATTCGTCCACGGAGAGTTAGGATAGAACACAACTTTGGGAACTGAACTTGCAAAACGTGTAGGCTTTTCAATTGTATATGATTTGCATATTTCAATGACTCTATATTCCAACAAGTTTAATAGCATAAGACAAGTATTGTCACTGCTGGGTGGGTACGATAATTTCCTGTCAGAGATAGGACTCAACAAACTGAAAGGTTGATTCTTTGATTCTTGTACCTTAATCAACCAACCTTTGGAAGAAGAAGAAGACGGTGGTAAAGATGCTAAGTTGGAGTCGGAAGTTGCATCAGATGGTTCAATAAGATAAATGGTTGATTGGCTGAGGTTAGTGTTTAGGGAGATATGGATGGGGTGAGGTATTTGTAAAGGAAAAGAAGGAGAATTTGGAAGAGAATTTGGAAGAGAAGAACGAAATGATTCACAAACACTACGAAATCTGAGGACATCTATGTGATTATCAAGATATTTTCCTATCTTGGGCCATAGCTCCGTAGGGAGTTGAGACCAATCTACTATTTGATCCATGGATGAAGAGTTCAAAGGTTTGTTTTGTTCTTTTTTGGAAGTTGATTTTGTTGAAGACAGAAATGATTTTAGATCGATCTATATGTAGTTTTGATGTTGGTCTTTATTATCTATACAGGCTTCTTTATTGGAAGTGTAAAGAGTGTAGAAAATACATGTGAATTTCTAGGAAGGTTTATGAGAAAGAAATTGAAAAGTGGAAATAGAAAGCATGGAGATATTTTGAGATCTTGTTTATGAGGTTCTTTCTGCGAAGGAATCTAGGGAATATTTTGTAGGAATACTTGACTAGCTTGAAAAGTCTTCTAAGTGAGATAACATAATAATATGCCCTTGATAATCAATTATTGGAAAATTTTACCTCATTATTTTTAAGTTTCACCTTTTATGTTGTCCTAGTAGTAGAAGTGTGTTTGTACGGTACTAATGTTTGTATGGCACGTGCGTGTTATGTGTATTTGTTTTCAAAATATAATAAAATTAAAAAGAAAGAAAAACAAATCAGTTTAATCAAAAGAATTTATTATTTTTAAAAGAAAAAAATATTTTTATTTATATTTGAATAATAAATATAATTGATTTATATGTAAAAATATTTGGATCAACCCTGTTTTCACGTATGTAAATATTATTTGAATTTTGACATTATTTAAAAAAAATTGGATCAATAAAAAATTTGTTCTCATTTAGAAAAAGAATTAAGGTTCGCTCATTAATTAAAAAATATTTTAAATTAATTTTTAAAAAACAATATATTTCTCTTATTTTTTATCTCAATATTATTTATGTTTTGACGTTATTTTTGTTTTGATATTATTTTTATTTTTCTAGATTCTTATTTATTAAAATAAGACCGTTTAAAAATATTTGGCTCACCAATATATTATTTTATGTATATACCAAATTGATAAATTATTTTTATTATTCAAAATCACTACAAAAATATATGTCCCCAGCGACATATATTAGCGACGTGATTATCACGTGGGTAGTAGCGACGTGATAACCACGTCGCTAATATATTTTAATGACATTTAATGGAAATTGGTGAACGTTTTTCAGAGGGAAGTTTGAAATTTTGTAGCGACGTGATAGCCACGTCGCTAAATTTTTGGGGGGAAAAATAATTTCGCTGATGGCAGAGTTGCAGTGTTGGAGAGAGAATAGTATTTATGATTAGTTTGTAGCGACGTGATTATCACGTGACAACGTTGCGACGTGACAGTCACGTCGCTACTAGAAGTTACATATGTTAACGTTTTGATTTACAGTAGCGTGCTTTCTTCTTCTTCCTTTCCTTGCTACTTCTCAAACATTACAGCAACTCTCACAAACTCAAAATTGTTCTCTCAAACCCAATTTCGCGAATCAATTTTCTTCCATTCCAATTTGTTGAAGAAATCTAAGGTATTCATATTTTGTTAAATGTTTATTTCGTTTGTTCTTTATTTTTTATACTGGAATGAAGTATTTAACATGGTATTTGTTCGGTTGTTCGTTATTATTTGTAGAGAAATTTGAAGAATACCAAGAACTATCCAAGAAGACGCAAATTTATTGAAGAAATTATATAGAGGTATTTATGCATTTTTTTTTAGATTTTATATGTATTATATAGATTAGATTTGTATATGTATTTTGTGGTTAGGAAGTATATATGTATATACTGTTAGTAGTATAAATGTACTGATAATAAAATTTTTTTTAAAAACATATTTAATAACATATTTAATATATTTTTTGCATATGTAATTTGTATATGTAATTTGCATATTTTTTGCATATGTGATTTATATATTTTTTAGTAGTATATTTGTATATGTAATTTGCATATTTTTTAATAACATATTTAATATATTTTTTTAAAAATTTTAGAAAACATAAATTTAATAACATATTTAATAACATGTTTTTTATAGATGTATATTATATTTATTATAATAGTTTTATTTTTTTATTTATATGTTAAAGATATGGAAAAAAAATTATATATTAGAATAAGAATTTATAAAAAACATAATTAAAAAAAGAATATATATATTATATTATTATTTTAATATTATTGTTATATATATAATAATAAATAGTATGTATCTTACATTATTTGTTTTCTAATATTATTGTTGTATATATAATAAAAAGTAAATATGTTATATTATTGTTTTTTGATATTATTGTTATGTAATAAAAAATTATATATTTTACATTTGAATATTTATTTATATGTTAGTATATATATAAAAAAGCAAAATTTATATTTCTAAGAATAGTATTAAATAGTTTAAGAATATTTCTAATGAAAAAGACAATGATTGTATAAATGTGCAGTATGGAATATTATCGGTATTATCGCAGTTGGATGTACGATAGAACATATCCAGGAAGAAGTGGACTTAAACCCAATTTTATAGTAGGAGTTGATGGGTTTATTAAGTGGGCGTTTGCTCAGGATTGTTGTCGAAGCGAAGGAGGGGTTAGATGTCCCTGTCTTAAGTGTGAATGTAGACCAATAATTAGTGACCCAGAGGAAGTAACACGTCATCTGCATAGAAGGGGATTCATTGAAAATTATTGGGTTTGGACGTATAATGGTGAAGAACTACCGGTTAATGTACCAGAGACTAGCAACACGCATGCTTCAAGTAGTCGACCGGTTATGGAGTATGAGGAGAACTTTAATTTGATCGGTGACATGGTTGAGGATGCTTTTGGTGTGAACGTGACATATGATGAACCTGAAGATTTTGACGGGGAAGAGTTGCCGAATGAGGAAGCGCAAAGATTTTATCAATTATTGAACGAGATGAATACGCCGTTGTTTGAGGGGTCGTCAGACTCGAAGCTATCAATGTGTGTGAGATTATTGGCTGCCAAGTCAAATTGGAATGTTTCTGATCAATGTTTGGAACATTTTGCAAAAATGATGTTGGACTCCACCGCTACGAAAGACAATTTGCCTACAAGTTATTATGATGCAAAGAAGTGGGTGTCGAAGTTGGGTTTAAAAGTAAGAAAGATTGACTGTTGCATTAACGGTTGCATGTTGTTTTATGACAATGAGTTTGGTACTCAAGATGGATCGTTAGAGGAGTGTAAGTTTTGTAATAGTCCAAGATATCAAGTTCGCAGTAGAGCCGTTAACAGCAAGCAAAAGCGTGTAGCAGTAAAATCCATGTTTTATCTTCCTATAATACCAAGGTTAAAAAGAATGTTTGCTTCAATGCACAGTGCAAGTCAAATGACATGGCATCATACAAACCAAACAAGTTCTGGCACTATGCGACATCCATCTGATGGTGAGGCATGGAAGCACTTTGATCGGACACATCCAGATTTTGCTGCAGAACCTAGAAATGTCAGGCTTGGATTATGCTCTGATGGATTTGCCCCATACGTGCAAGCGTCAGGAAGTGCGTACTCTTGTTGGCCAGTTATTGTAACACCTTACAACCTCCCTCCTGAGATGTGCATGACAAAACCATACATGTTTTTGACGTGTGTTATTCCAGACCCGCACAGTCCAAAAGCCGGAATTGATGTGTACTTACAACCTTTAATTGATGATTTGAAGAAGATGTGGAATGGAGAATGGACTTATGATATATCCCGTAAACAGAACTTCACATTACGAGCTGCCTTGATGTGGACCGTTAATGACTTTCCAGCATATGGCATGTTGTCTGGTTGGGGTACGCATGGAAAAATGGGTTGTCCGCATTGCATGGGATACACCAAAGCATTTACGTTGGATAAAGGTGGGAAAAGCTCATGGTTTGACTGTCACCGCAGATTCCTACCAGCAAATCACCCGTATAGAAGAAACAAGACAAATTTTAAAAAAGATGTACGAGAGAAAGATTTGCCTCCGCCTCGATTGCCACCAGGGGTTATATGGAACCAAGTATGTGAACTACCAAAATTTACAGATACTGGGAAAGCATGCCGAATTGAAGGATACGGGGTCACCCACAATTGGACAAAAAGAAGTATATTTTGGGATCTTCCGTATTGGAAAGATAATTTGTTGCGCCATAATCTTGATGTTATGCATATTGAGAAGAATTTTTTTAATAATGTATTTAACACAGTGATGGATGTGACAGGAAAAACAAAAGATAATGAGAAGGCCAGACAAGACATGGGAATTTGGTGTAATCGAAGAGAGTTGGAGTTGAAGCCTCAACCGAATGGAAAATTATTAAAACCCAAGGCTTGTTTCAGTCTGACTTCCCAAGAAGCTAAATACATTATCAAAAACCCAAGGCTTGATCCGAGTGAGATTCATGTCATTGACGGGAGGTTTTGGATTTGGCCCGAAGGAAGCAAGTAAGTTTCTTATATAAACTTTTATTTAAGTACATATTCATTTTAATATTTTGTATAAATTTATAATTAATATTGTTTATTCAAAATCTTGTTGTTTAGTTTCGCGCCGAGTCGGACGGCTGCCAAGGTTATTAATTATATAATCCAGCAGATGTATAAATCCTCTTGGAAGAACTTTGGCGAGGTTACAAATAAAGAAGAATGGTTTAAAAAATTTAAGGTATTGTTATTTATTTAAGTTGTAAATTTATTATATTTTTTTAGTATTGTTATTTAAGTCACATTTTAATGATAATTGCTTAACTTTTTATTTTAATGTCATACAACATTGCAGGAAAAATGTGTGTGGGATCCGTTGAATGAGAAAATAATGGAAAAAATATATTATAGCAGAACTTCTAGAAGATTTTCTGATATTATGCGGCGGGTTAGGGAGAATTATGAGCTGCATGGTATCCGTCCTAACTGGATAGGCGTAGAGGTTTTTGGCGAACTTCGTACATATTGGAGTTCGCCAGAATTCAAGGCCAAATCCGAAAATTTTAAGAAGATGAGGGCATCCGAAAAGGGGGGATGTGTCAATACTGTTGGAAGTATTAGCACTGCAGAGCATGTCCGGCAGATGGTAAATATTACTAATTTTTTAAGTTATATATATTTTTATTCATAATATT